AGTCCCTAGGCCTATCGGCCACTGCTGCTCTGTCTCTCTACACCATCACCTCTGCCACCATCTCTGTTGTACCGTTTTTCTGATTAGGATCTCTCGCTTCTCTCATGTTCTTCCCTCTTGATGGTCCTAGGATCCTCTGTTCCTGAAATGACAGATTAGCTGTTTAGTTACACCTCTTCTACATTTACAGTTGTGACATCACCATTAGACCTAATAACGATTACTCACAATTGAATCATAAAAATTTCTCCTTCATCACCAGACCCATCTGGACAAAAAGAAAACTATTCAGTAGGGTTTCTGTCTTACTACCCTCATTCTGACACTAAGCACCCTCATGAAAGCTTGTAAGCCTTTATAGACCCCCAATTTTGGTAGCTGAAGTCTAAGTTGTCCGTCCTTATCAACCCAGCGTTCTGAGGAGGCATGCTTGATCCTTGATAAGAAAAATCCTACCCCATTCAGTTGGAATTTTGGGCAGTTTCATAAGCAAAGGTTAGTTAGTTGATCAGTTTATAGCAATTTATGCTTGCTCTCTGTATCATATTTCTTTATCTTCATCTGGTCAAATTATGGTCAGCAAAGCCATCAAGCTAGGTCAAATGGGTACTATTGAAAGTTTGGGAGTTCTCTCATGCCTCCTTCCTCTTCATACCAGCTGGATACTTAACTCTTAACTCTAGTCCCCAATGGCTAGGTCAGTGTCCTTGGGCTCAGGAGTTCACATGTCTCACTGAACTTAAAGCCAGGCAGCCCATCTCTCATCTCAAAGTCATTGGGCATCTATGGAATATGGTCGATCTCTTTGCTGCATTTCCCCCACTTCCACTCACAAGTTGACCAGAGTAGTCACCAGTGAGCCTACAAGACTGTTCATACGTTCTCTTTGAGTTTCAGTCTTAGAAAGAGGTTTACCCTGATGGGCTGACTTTTCTTGCCTTGATGACTCCAAGGCAAACATCTTGCTTGATATTGTCACAGCCAATCTGCTATCTTTCTCCCTCCACCCACCCATTGATCTTTCTTTCAAGAAGTATCTTGTATTCCTCTAGCCATTCTGGGTTGATCTGCTTGTCTTTTCAATTGGGACTATTCTACCTCTGAAGGTGCTGGAGGAGGGAGGGGCTCAGGCTTCCAGCTAAGGTCCCATATTCCACAAAGGCCTGTTTCCCCAGGCACATTCTTGTTTATTTTTAGATAACTCAATCAATTATAGGATGAAGAGGGGCTTACAAACTTACTGTAATCATACTTTCCAGTATTTATTTCGATTCCACTTAAACATCTATATTACACTAGTAGCAGTGGAATCCGATATCCACAGAACAGTCAAGTACTTTAACATTATTTCCCCTCCTTTACCCATTCAGACTATGTCTCATCCCTATATCATAGTCTTGTTTTTCCAAGGCTGTTCTTACCTAACAATCTACCTCTGCCCCATTTACCCTGTTTATACCTTCCAAAGTCTTTCCCTATCATTTCCCTATTCTCCTCCCCCTTCTTATGCATTGCCCCCCCTCACCTATTTACTGCCCTCCCCATCACCCAAGTTATCATATGTCTATCCCCTAACCTGTGAGTTACTGTCCACTTCCTCTCACCTCTGGCAAACCTCAAAGAATTATTCTGAGTGTGGAAATCTTTTCTTAAGCTATTACAATAATGGTTTTACATAGTATTTGTTCTTTGGTGCCTGACTAATTTCACTCAGCATAATGCCCTCAAACTTCATCCATGTTATGCAGTGGTTTGCAACTTCTTCGTTCTTCTCAAAGTAGCATAGTATTCCATTGTTTGTAGATACCAGAGTTTACTGATCCATTCTTATGTTGATGTACACTTAGGTTGTCTGTACAAGCAACTTTCAAAGTCATTGCAAATAAGCCCTCATCTAGGTTGCTCCATAGGTGTTTCCTGCCTTCAGGGCCCAGTGCCTGGAGCATGTCATGGACAGAACCTCAGGGAGCCTCACTGTGCTGCTCACCTTTTGCCAATGACTTTCTTGTATCCAAGGTCTTCTATAGGTTGTGTCTCTGTATGTGTGTACGTGTGTGTGTGTTTCACTCAAAATTCAAATGTTTACCCATATTTTGCAAGCTTAAAAGTATGACTTTGCTTTAGGCCTTTGCATGAATCTTTGTATTCCACTTATTTAGAAAATATTTACTGAGCACCTGTTATTTGCTAAGGAGACTCTGGGTGGGTGCAAATGGCTAACACACTCTACTGCTAATGGAAGATTGGATATTCAAGTCCAACCAGAGGTACCTCAGAAAAAATAACTGGGAATGTAGTTCTGAAAAATTCATCACTGGAAACCCTATAGATCACTCTGACACATATGGGGTTTCCATGAGTCAGAAATGACCTGATGGCTACTAGCAATGGTGATAGTTATTCATTTTACATTTAACATATATGAAGATTTGAATGAAAAGCAATTTGAAATTAAATGTTTCCATGTCTTAATGGAAGCTATGTCATTGTCCAGAATATTTGTTTATGTTCATTCTTCAATAAAAGGAGGTACAATATGGTTCCCTGAACTGTGTGTGTGTGTGTTGTGTATGTGTGTGTGTGTGTGTGCGCACACACGCATGTATGACTGGCTCACACTCTCCCCAAACTAAAGTGTGCCCCCATCATCCTAAGTAAGACAACTTTAGTCTCCTGAGCCAGGAACTTCTCACAAGGACTTGAGCCAGCAGATTCTCCAGCCACCCAGAGAAGGAAGAGTGGCTGGAGCTGAGAGCAGAAGGCAAGATCAGGGTGTAGCTACTCAACTCTGACTTTTTCTTTGTTTTCTGTTTGCTTTCTGAGCAAACCTTCCCCTTGCAGAGTGGAAATGCATTTTGGAAAACAAGAAGAGAGCATGAAATTACCTTATGTGAGTAAATAGGGGACTAGGGTAATGGGATTAGCCTTTATTGAGTACCTACAATGTGCAGGGAGTCCTGGTGTGGCACTGTGGGTTAATGTGCCAGACTGCACAGCTGTTTAAACTACAAGGTCGGTGGTTCAAGCTCACCAGTCGCTCCTTGGAAACCTTATACAGGGTCACTATGGGTTGGTACTGACTTGACTGCACTTAACAACAACAATGTGCAGGCATGGGCCTTTACCCTTGGAATGTTCACAATGACCCTATGGGAGGGGCTCCTATTATTGCCTATTATATATGGCTGGTATATGACAGAGCCACAACTGGAACTCAGGTTGACCCCAGAGGTAGCATCTGTTTACTTCTCAGTTCCATTTTGTGTCAGGTAAGGAGGCTGTCCCAGGGAAACCAGGTAGTTAGTGACAGTGAATCCAGTCCAAGGTACAGTCGTGTTTCCATGAAGCAAGCTTTCTGATGTTCTTGGGGACCACAGGGAGAGGAACCTTTGTCCTATGAGGGTACTGAGGCACAAAGATGTGGATTCACTATTGGCAGATGGCAGAGGCAGAATTCAAACTCAGGGTTGTCTGATTCCCACACCTGTGTGTTTTCTATGATGTCCAACAGCCTTCTGGCTTCTGGTCATGATGAACTCCAAGAAGGTGCAGGGGTCGGGGGCAGGGTGCAGAGTGGGGTGTTAAAAATTCCTTTTTACACATTTAGAGCTTGAAGGCCCGTGGGACAATTGAGTGGGACATCAGAAGCCAGCTAGAGGCTAGTATTAGATCACAGGAGAACCACGTGTGAAGATATAGGATGAGCAGTAATTGTGGGATGCATGGAAGGGGTGTGGGCCCTAGAGGCTCAGCTCATGCTCTATCAAATGTGAGGAGAGCAATGGTACAATGCACTCTAAGTCTGTGTTACCATCTTACATTTCACCTGTGTCTAGGAAGTGATAAACGTGTCTCCTGGCTACCGCCTCATTCGGAATAGGGAACAGATTTCTGTCACCTTGGGGGATGAGATGTTCGACAGAAAAAAGCAAACAGAATCAGAGATCATGGACAAAATAGAAATTTCCAGGTAATATCTTTGAACCAACCTCCAGCTCCTAAAAGCTATCACTACCTGGCTTAGTATAGCCTTTGGGACAAACCCCTGACATCTATGCCAACGTCACAGGGTCCCGCTCTGAAGTCACTGTGCAAGCTCACGTTATACGTCACCTTGTCTCTTGATGCCAGCTCCCATCCACGTCCACCTCTCGCTGTTCCAGTCCCTTTAGTCAGTGGGTCCAAGAGGCAAATGAAGATCAAATCAGGCAACTGACCCAGAAAATGATGGATGTGGTATTGTTCACACTAATGGAGAACAATTTTTCCTGGGGCTAAGAAACAGATAAAATATTCATTTGTCGTTGTTATTAAGTGCCGCTGAGTCCGTTCCAACTCATAGTGACCCTAGCTTCAGAATGTCTTGGCATAGACAAGTGAATGGGTTTGAACTTCCAAACTGGTGGTTCAAAGTCCAGTGCTGATCCTACTGCACCACACAGTTTGGAGTATGTGAATCAGGTGTAAGGTCTGGGTTTCTGTGAATCCCAAGTATGTACGTCTTTTTACATTATAACCAAAGATACTTCTCAGTTGATGCAGTGTGGAGGGTTCCAGCCTGAATCCTTCTGGGTTGAACACCCTGCCATGCAAGCTCCACCAAACTCTCTAAACCACCACCATCATATGAAATCAGTCAGCACAGCCTTTCCATTCCATCGACAAACTCCCTCAGTCAAATCTCCCAGTCCTTCTTTCCTGTCTTCACTCAGGCATCTAATACTCTTACCTGCACTACTGCAATGACTGCCCACCTGGTGTCTCTTCCTCCTAGCTTTTGCTTGCTATGAGAGTTCTCTTTTTCAAGAGAGAAACTTTAAAAACCACCACGAACATCAGAAAACACAAACACCACTTACTATTTATTATCCGTTAGTGTATGGAGACTCTAGAAACTGCAACAGGTCATGTGCACGGCTGCTAACTGGATGGTTGGAGATTCCGATCTACCCCGACTCCCTGGGAAGAAACGCTTGGCAGTCTGTTGTTATTAGGTACCATTTAGTCGGTTCTGACTCATAGTGACCCGACGCACAACAGAATGAAACAGTGCACGATGCTAGGCCATGCTCACAACTGTTGTATTTGAGCCCATTGTGGTTGCTCCCTCTTTTTCACTGACCCTCCACTTTACCAAGTATGATGTCCTTCTCCAGGGACTGATCCCTCCTGACAGCATATCCATCGAACAAGAGACAAAGTCTTGCTATCCTAACGTCTAAGGAATATTCTGGTTGTACTTCCTCCAACACAACTTCTTGGATTATTTGCTCAGCATACAGACTGGATAAGTATGGTGAAAGAATACAACCATGGCACATACATTTCTTGATTTTAAGCCATTCAGTATCCCTTTGTTCTGTTAGAACAACTGCCTCTTGGTCTGTGTGCAGGTTCCTCGTGTACATGAAGTGTTCTGGAATACCTATTCTTCACAGTGTTATCCGTAGTTTGTTATGATCCACACATTTGAATGCCTTTGCATAGTCAATAAAGCACAAGTAAACATCTGATATTCTGTGCTTTTAGCCAAGATTTATCTGACATTAACAATGATATCCCTTGCTCTATGTTTTCTTCTGAATCCAGCCTGAATTTCTGGAAGCTCCCTATTCATGTACTATAGCTGTTTATAAATTATCTTTAGCAGAATTTTTCTTACATGTGATATTAATGATATTGTTCAATGATTTCTGCATTCCACTGGGTCACCTTTCTTTGGAATGGGCAGAAATATCAGTTGATTGATTAAGTGTCTTCATATTCCTTGGCATAGACAAATGAGTGCCTCAAGTGCTGCATCAGTTTGTTGAATCATTTCCATTTGGAGTCCATCAATTCTTAGAGTCTTATTTTTCACCAATGCATTCAATGCAGCTTGGATTTCTTCCATCAGTATCATTGGATCTTGATCATATGCTGCCTTTTGAAATGGTTGAACATTGACTAATTCTTTTTGGTACAATGACTCCTTCCATCTCCTTCTGATTCGTCCTGCATCATTCAGTATATTGCCCATGTTGTTGTTGCTAAGTGCCGTGGAGTCAATTCCTACTCACAGTAACCCTGTATAGTGTTTCCAAGGAGCAGTTGGTGGGTTTGAACCAAAAACCTTGAGGTTAGCAGGTCAATGCTTATCCTATAGCACCACACCAGGGCTCCATTTTGCCCATAGAATCCTTCAGTATTGAAAGTAAAATCTTGAATTATTAATTCAGTTCTTTCAGCTTGAGAAATGCTGAGCATATTCTTCCCTTTTGATTTTGTAAACTCCAGGTCTTTGCATATTTCATTATAATACTTTATTTTGTCTTCTCGAGCTGCCCTTTGAAATTTTCTGTTCAAGTTCTTTTACTTCATCATTTCTTCCCATTGCTTTAGCTTCTCTACACTCAAAGACAAATTTCAGAGTCTTTTTTAACATCCATTTTTGTCTTTTTTTTCTTTCTTATATTTTTAATGATCTTTTGCTTTCTTCATGTATGATGTTCTCAGTGCCATTCCATAACTCTCTGGTCTTCCATCATTAATGTCTAATGCATAAATCTATCCTTGAGATAGTCTTTGTACATTTCACATTCCAATTATTAATGGATGTTTGTAGCTGTTTCTCCTCATTTTGAGTTGTGTCCCATCAATAAATGAAGGTCCCAAAAACTTTTCTCCAGTGGCATCATTAGATCAACTCTAAGGAGGCAGTTGTATTTTGAGCGTCTTCCAGCCTGAGAGGTTCATTTTCCAGCACCACACCTGACAGTGTCCCACTTCTATTCATAAGGTTTTCAGTAGCTTATCATTCATAGAAGTCATCCACCTCTCCTTCTTTCTGTCTGGAAGCTCCGCTGAAACCTGTCCACCATGGGTGAAACTGCTGATATTTAAAATACAGGTGGCATAACTTCCAGAATCACAGCAACTCACAAACTGACAGACAAGGGGTGACTTAGTAGTCTACTTCTGAAAAACCAGCCACTGACAACCCAATGGAGCAGTTTTACTCTGGCATACATGGAATTGCCATGGGTTGGAATTGTCTCAATGGCAACTGGTTTGCTTTGGGTTTGGTTTTGTAGTATATAGAAAGGATACAACCTGTTAGCAACCTGTTGCTTATCTCTGTGAAGGGATGCAGACTCAGGATTAGGCTGAAGGGCCCACAAAACCATTGGTGAGTGAAGCCAAACCACTGGGACACCCTGGTCTGCCTTGACTCAGACAAAGCAGATCTGAGCTCCTCCTTACTAGTCAGTGGAGCCTTCAGCCAGTTTTCTTTCCCCTGACTGCCCACAACACTGCAGCAAGACAATGGGTTGTTGCCCACATACAAGGCAGTGCCTCAACTATTTCTTGTTTTTCTAAGAAGGTTGTCACCATTTGTGGAAAAATAACACAAAAGATGCTTGTGAGTATTGTTGACATTGAAGATAACTACCAAAAGACAGACAGGAGTTCCCTGATATTCCATTTACTTGTACCTTGTCACCCTCTTCTCCTATATCCTGTCTCTTATTTTCTCACCTCACATTCTCTCTCTGCCAGTTAGATATGGTGAATGATTGGCTAAAGAGTTCAAAGTCTCATGAGTTGAGGCCCTCCTCTTAGCTACACTGCACAGAAGCATTGCCTGCCACCCTGTCTACTCTGGCACAATCAAACAGAGATGAGTAATGAGTAATCTATAAACATCATGGAGTTCCCAAACTTAGAAACATATAGACACCATTGTCTATTTTTAAAGCTACTCTCTTATATTCCTTCTTACTCCCAAATCTGGTCCATTCCTTGTCTATGATTTACTGTCACCATTAATATTTCCCCAACTTCTCTTTCCCAATCCCCCAAGCTTCATTTCAAATACTATTGGCATATCAAGGCCGAACTCTAATAAACTCCTTGCTATTTATTTCCCTGCTATTCAAGAGACTGCCAACCCATCCCACTCACTCTGGATAGCTTTTGTCCAGAAAGGCAGTCTGAAGCTCAAGTGCCCTACTGTTAATTCCTTCCCTGGACCATCACTCTGCCTCTTCACCCCAATGCCCATGATGATGTGGTGTGTGTGCTTTCACCAGGCCAGAGCCATTGTTCCCAGGGCCCTGGCTTCATGGGATGGTTAGGCTCTGTGAATGAGAAGAAGCTCTGTGCTTGCTCCACAGGACTAATATAATTTCGGACCTAGAAGAGCAGATCTCAGAGCTGACAGCGATAATAGAGCAGATGAACAGAGACCACCAGTCTGCCCAAAGATTGGTGAGTGACCCTTGAGTTAGTCAGAATCTTATGGGTCAGGAAAAATTAAATTTTCAGATCAATCACCTGCTATATGCCAGGCAAGATGCCAAGCATTTTACTTATGTAGCCACATTGTCCAGGTGACAGAAAACTGAAGATAGGACCATGGCTACCCAATAGTATTTCTTTGACTCCATCTCCATTGCAAGAGCTTAAGCTTCTCTTCAAATTCTAATTCAATTATTTCTGGAAGTTGTCCCGTGTGTTCAGTGACACTGTCCTCCCTATATGAGGAGCACCTGTCATCTCCCATCTAGCCTGTTGGAACCTTGGTGGTGAGTTAAGTTTCAGAGGTGGTTGAGCCTCTCACTAACGGTACCAACACAATCAATCCTTCCAGCGTTGCTCGGAAAGTGCCAGGAGCCTCCAGTGCCTACTTCCCGACGCTGTTGAAGCTGCAATAATGATACCTCCGAACCTGCAGATGGCAATTTTCATTCTCTGTGTTTCTTGAGGGTTTTAGTGGCATGCCTCCTTTACATTTCACCACCTGTCTTATCACAGGGCCTTCCTGCCTATCTCAGGCAGGATTGGCCAGTTGCCTGGACTGGAACAACAGACCAAAGCTGTGCTGAAAACCTCCTCTGACCACAAGCTGGTCTGTTGTTACCGAAACCTGCTTCAAGGTCTACTTCCCAGCTTTTAGACAGATATCTGACAGACCTAGCTCCCACCCTCTTATATGCCCCAGACATGTCTCAGTTCTATAGTGACCCAGCTTGTGACTCAAGCTGAGACCTCTTCCACTACTGATTCATTATCCTATTTATATTAAAACTTTGCAAAGTTTATGGCCTCTGTCCTTTAGACAGAAACTGAGGACCAGGGAAATTAAATAACTTCTCATCAGTGATAGACCATTGGGTAAGACACACTTGCCCCACTAAGCCCAAGCTATGCTGAAGACATATTTGAAGACTATTTTCATGGAGGGACCCCTACAGTGTGAGCCTTAAAATTCTCCTACTTGTGAACACACCATTTTGTAGTACTAGCGTAGTGGTTATGAATCGGGTTGTGAACCTTAAGGTCAGCGGTTCGAAACTACCAGCTGCTCCGCGGAAGAAAGATCAGGCTTTCTACTCCTGTAAAGATTTACACCCTCGGAAACCCTGTACAGGGTCACTATGGGTCAGAACCAACTCGACAGCACTTAACAACAACAACAGCAACAACAACCCTGTGGAAAGGAGGAGTGCTAGGTGGCTGTCCTTCCAGAGTTGCTGGGGCTGACCAGAGGGTTGTGGCAGGTACAACCCTGACTCCTCATGGTAGGTAGGATTCCTTTCCAGCACAAGGGAAGAGGCACTAGGACAAGGCTTGAACCCTTGCATTAGCTGACTGTGACCACATACTGGTTTTAAAATGTCCATTCTTCATGGGACAGTAGCTAGATGTTTCTGATATGTTAGGATGGAGGTTTACCAGAGAGTGAGCAATTTCTGCTTGCTAGAACATGATCATTCTGTCAACAGGGACTTATTTATTAACAATGGATTTTAAGTTCAGTGAAGGAAAAGTCTGAGTCTTAGGCCTGTTTGGCTTTTTCAGGCAGTCCTTTTCCCAATAAATAATTGTTCAATTTAATTATGTATCCAAGAATCTAAAGGTCACGGTCTTATGAAGAGATTACAATCTAGCCAAGCCCAGACCTACCCACAAACCCAGCTAGTGAAAAAGATGGTTTCTGTGCACCAACATTATGAACATAGGACAAAGCAATATAATGGGCCCTCTGGGCACTGCAGAACACAAATGGTAGCAGTGTGGGGAGTGGGCTGGACTCCATGAGTGAAGAGGCAGAAGATACCAAAGGTGCAGGTTGGGGCAGAGGTCCTTACTCCTGGGTTATTAATGTGGGGCCTCATCTCCAGCTCTCCAGTGAAATGGAAATCCGGTGTGCTGAGATGCAGCAGAACTTTGACAACAAGAACAGGTATGCTTTCTGGCACAAGCCCTTTGTGTTGAAGGTCCTAGGCTCCTGCATCCTTTGCAGGAATATAGTTCATTGGAATCCAGACAGCGCTAACTGGGACTGGAGTAGTGAGGGCTGGGGACATAAGGCTTGTGTCTTTGGAGTGCTGGATGGCTTGATTTGAGGCCACCAACAGGTAGCACAAAGTGATTGTTTCTTGATATTTTCTCATCAATTATTTTATTTCATTCTAATCTCTTTCTTTGTTGTCGTTGTTGGTAGCTGAGAAGGGTCAATTTTGTTTGTTGCCTATGAGCTGTGTTAAACAGCTGTTGTTCTCAGTTGCCCCTCTGCTCCCCAGTTCCTTTCTCCTCCTCTCACCTGTGCACTCCCTTCTGTGAGGTAAGCCCTGGGCTACAAGGGAGGATGTTTTGAGAGGTGTGGCAGCCAGAACAGTAAAGGTAAACTGTGTTTTATCTGTGGGTAAAGAAAATACCAACTTTCCCTTCCACACTTGCTGCGCACCAGTGCAAGTTCAGAAACTTGACTTGAATAAGCTAGTTTAAACACTGGACTTGAATACCCTAGTATCTGCCTTCTGGAATACAGGGTGCAGATACCTTGGACTCATCCTTGGGGCTGAGATTGCCCACAGATTCCCCTGCTCTTTATAAGCAACCATGTAGCCTGTTGGGAAGGGAGAGTTACTTGTAAAATAGAGATCTCCTCTCAGCGTCTCTGGAGGGATAAAGGAGAATGTTTCGATAGCGAAGCCTCAAAGCTGCCCACCAACTTCCTGTGTTAGGGAGGAGGGGTTGAGAGGGAGTCAGTGAACTTTTACTCATGATTTTGGTCTTCTCTGGGCTTCCACAGGGAGCTCAAAGAGGCTCATGCCACAGAAATCAGTGAGTTAGAGCAAAACTACAAAGCAGCTTTGAAGGCAGAGAGGTTGGCTGCCCAGGAGAAGCTGGGTACGTCTCAGGGGGTTGGGACCATAACTGGGGGTGGGGGTGGGGGTGGGGTGTTTGAGAGGCTGCCCCTGAGTGCTTCTAGAGAGAGCACCAGTGTTTCAGTGTTTCCTCTGGAAGCTTAGGGGAAGGGAGTGGCTGAGAATGAAACTGTAAGAAGAGAAAACCTCTCTAGTAATGCTCTTCCTAAACCTGGAAGATGGGCAAGTTTGTCCCAAGTCTTGGGATCTGAGCAAGTACTTTCATCTCCTTGAGTGTCAGTTTCTCTATCTGGGCATGGAGGACAGTAACACCTACTCTTATTGGAGTAATAAGAATGTGAAATCATTTTTAAGGATATATTTTAAAGGTCCACAAATTTAAGGTAATGCTATTACAATCCTGGAGTCCTGGTGTGGTGTTGTGAGTTAGTGCCCCAGACTGCAAAGCCATTTGAACTGCAAGGTCAGCAGTTTAAGCTCACCAGCTGCTCCTCTGAAACCCTATACAGGGTTGCTATGGGTCAGAATCAACTCAACAGCACTTAACAACAACAACATTACAATTCAGGAGTCCTGATGTGGCCCTCTGGCTTAATGCGCAGGACTGCTCAAGGTCAGTTTGAACCACAAGGTTGGTGGTTCAAACTCACCAGCCACTCCTTGGAAACCCTACACAGAGTCTCTGTGAGTCAGAACTGACTCAAAGACACTTAACAACAACAACATTCCAATTCAACAAGTATCCTCTCCTGTAAAGTGATGGTATATCATTAAATTCCACTATGGTCGTATATCCCAGTATTTGTGCTTCCCCTGGGAAGGGCAGAATGCGTACCCTGCAAAATTGCCACCACAGTGAGAAGGAGAGATTCTACAACATCCCTTTATTTCGTCGTCTACTTTTTAAAGAAATCATCTTATTTTTACTTTGCGGATTTTCCACTTTTCTAAAGAGAACATTCATTGTTTTCATAATCAATGTAAACTAGAAAATGTTATTTTAAAAAGAGATGCAGATGTAAGCAGCAAGGGTTGAGCCCTGAGGGATTGTTCTCAAACTTGGTGGGTCTCAGAATAGCTGGGAAGTAGATTAGCCAGCAGATGCTGAGGTTTCCCCTGAGATTCTGATTCTGTGTGTTTGGGGGCAGGGCCTGTACATTAGCATTTCTAATAAGCTTCTTGGTCCATTTCTGAGGCACAGCAAGGTTTCATGAGCTAGGAGATGAGTTTGAGGTGGGGGAAGTGTGCAAGGGAATTTATACTTGGGGAATACTGATGGCTCTGTTGTTTTCCTTTTGCCCAGAGGAAATGGGAAAAGAATACAAATATTTGAAGAATATGTTTCACATGTATCAGGTGAGATACAGTGCTCCCTGGTGAACTATAAAGGTAAAAAACACAAGCCTCAATCCTGGCTGATGACATTGGAATCCATCTAGCCACATGCACCCACAAGAAGCGTGAACCTCGGACTGTGGTGGTTTATGTGTGCAAGTCAGTCACCCAGACCCTGAGGAGACCTACTGAAAAATACCCCTGTGAAACAATAATACCTGTTCATGTTCCTTTGTTATTTTTATGGAAATTCAAACACCAACAATAACAACAGCAAAAAATTATTCACCCAAAGACAACCAACCATTGTTAATATTTATACTTTCTTTAAAGTATTGTTGTTGTTATGTGCTGTGGAGTCGGTTCTGTCCCATAGCGACCCTGTACAGGGTTTCCGATGCTGTAAATCTTTATGGGAGCAGAAAGCCTCCTCTTTTTCCCTGCAGAACAGTTGGTAGTTTCAACGGCTGACCTTGCGGTTCACAGCCTGATTCGTAACCACTACGCTACCAGAGCTCCTTATAGCTGAAATCATACTGGATATATTCTAAGTGCATTCTTATATTCTTTTTTCATCTGGCATATGAGAACCCCCACTTTTTGTTAATCACTAGATACTATTCCTTCCTTTTATATTGTGGTAAATATATACATATATACATACAAATACATTGTTATTGTTGTTGTTAAGTGCCCTTGAGTTGCTTCTAACCCATAACTTCCCTGTATTGGGTTTCCAAGGAGCAGCTGATGGATTTGAACTGCCAACTTTGTGGTTTAAACTGATCTTGTGGTCCATTCAGCTCATTATCCTGAAGCACCACACCAGGACTCTCTTATATATAACTCCCATTTCTCCCACCCTCCAGAATTTGGTAACCACTGTAGTGGTTACTAATTGGGCCGTGAACCTCAAGGTCAGCAGTTCAAAACTACCAGCTGTTCCATGAAAGAAAGATGAGGCTTTCTGCTCCCGTAAAGATTTACAGCCTTGGAAACCCTTTACAGGGTCACTATGAGTCGGAACCGACTCCACAGCACATCACCACCACCAATAAAGTTTGGTTCTCCTTCTTACTCATTAGATATTATACTAATGGAAGGGTCTTCAAGTACTTAACCACCACTCTACTGCTTCACATTAGAGATGTTTCCAGTTGTTTGCTATAATCAATAATATTGCTTTGAACATCTTTGAATATATAACTTTTGATTCTAGAAGTAGAGTGCTGGACCAAAAGGAAGGAAAATTCGTTTGCCTCTCCAACCACCTCAGAGCATATAATCCATTCATTTAATCATATCTAAATTGATGGGGGCTCAGGGAAACAGAGTTAGGGCATGATTTCTTACTAGGGGCACTTAGAGTGGGCAAGGATCAAGTTCCCTTCCACTTAATTATTAAGTAGGGTGGCCAACTCATCCTGGTTTGTCTAGGACTTGCCTGGTTATAAAGTTCAGCATCTCAGGAATCCCCTCAGTCCGAGGCAAGCAGGACCAGTTAGTAACCTTATGGAAGGAGGAAGCAAGCATGAAATGTTGTTCATCATCAGATTCAGTTTTGAGCTTTGCATCTATTTTTCAAGATGCACCTTTATGCTATCAAGGAAAACATCTAAGAGAAGTGTCAGGCTTATGACCAGGTAAGCTGCCGCAGTTTTTCCTGGGTATGCTCTATGCTTGCGTCAATCTGTAACTCTATAAAGAGTTTGATTTCAGTGGCAAAGGGGCAATGAGCTTCCCATCAGTCCTAAGATTATGAAAAAGAAAGTCCATGTAAATGGACAAACAATTACAAGTTCATCTTGAGTGAACACTTTTGCTAAACTGAAAAGGAAGAGAGGTCAGGGCCCTTGGACTTTACTGATAGTGCCCAAGTCCTGAGTGTCCCACCTTCCTGGGGTCTTGTGCTTATGAAGTCTGGACCAACCAACAAAACTGGCATTGGGTTAGGTTGATTTAACCTCAAAGGAAATTAAATGTGCTGAGAAATGGACACTCTGAAAAAAATCCCATTGTTTCCTAAATATTCAAATAAGTAACTAGGTGAATTTGTCTCTCCATGAGTTTTGATGAGCAATTCAGTTGAGGCAGAGCTGACATGTGGTTCTTCATCACAGAGAACCCTACCTGTCTTCAAAAGAAGTCCAGTTCCAGTCAGACAAATTCCACACATGGTTTGCCTTTGACTGCTAGGGTTCCACAAAACCTCAGGTGAGAAAAGCTGAACATTCTTCCCATCACTAATGGAAGTCAACACATAGGAGCTTTGCAGAGAGGGTCCCAGTGAAGGAAACTGGGAATGATACAAAGCTGTGTCTTCAGTGAGTATGCAGTACAGGCAGAAACCTCCCCTTGTGTACAATTACAGCCTCTCCAAGAACCATTAATTAGGGGGTTTTTTTTGTTTTTTAACTTCTTCATAGTATTCTTTATGCCTCCACAGGACAGCATCTATGATGAAATGGAAGATAGGTGGTCAAAGCGGAAGGCAGAATGGGAGAAGGATGAGAGGTTGGAGCGGGAAAAGATCCTGCTACAGCAAAGTAAGTATAATAGCTTCTGGCTTTTGTTGATAGGTGCATCAAAACCTGCCGCTATGTTTGGCCACAACTTGAGGAAAATGGCCTGGGACTTTCTGAGGGCCGTGGGGCAATAAGGTTTTCTCCTGGATGGAAGATGACTGGAATTTTTCAAGAAAGCAAAGTGACAACAAGGGTGAGGTCGTTTATGGAGTTCAGTTAACTGTGGGTCTAAGCCTGCACCTTCTCAAACTCACTGGTTCCAAGTTGTCTCTCATGGGCTGAAACAAGTGTGGGGACATTGGTAGGCATGCAGACTTGCTATCTAGATACAGATGACTCTAAAGTTCTAAAATAGGAGTTTCTGAATTAGAATGTTAAATACTGACTTCTTGGGAGATTACAATCCATTATGTTGAGAGACTCTATACCACCACATCACTCCAAAAGGAGCCATGTTTGATATATATTTTAATATTTCTAACACAACATAAAGGAGCTCTGGTAGCGTAGTGGTTACGAATCGGGCTGCTAACCTCAAGGTCAGCAATTCGAAACTACCAGCTGTTACGTGGGAGAAAGATGAGGCGTTCTGCTCCCATAAAGATTTACAGCCTCAGAAACCCTGTGCAGGGTCGCTATGAGTCAGAACCGACTCCACGGCACATAACAACAACAACAACACAACATAGAGTTTAAGTAATACAAAGTGTTTTATATGTATACCTTCCACACCCACTGAGCTTCGTAAATGGAAAAAGGAGAGAGGTCTAGCTAGAAATTCTGCTTCCTGGCCTAGAAGACTAGTTAAAATAGGATAATTACAAACCTATTCCTTATCCTGCTCCACCCATATTAGAGATTTTGTTGTTGTTGTTGTTAAGTACCATTAAGTTGGTTCCAACTCATAGTGACCCTATATAGGGTTTCCAAGGGGTAGCTGGTGAGCTTGAACAGCCGACCTTGCAGTTCAAACTGACCTTGCAGTTCAACTCATAGTTGGTTTTAATAAATTGCTCATTTGAATGTGAATCTTCAAGGCCATTCACATCGTTATAGGGACGCTGACACGTCTGATGGTAGCAATAACAACCTTGGATATAAACTTGGGGAATGGAATGTAGAAGCTACTCAGATCTGGTTTTCCCTAGGATCCCAGTGACCCGATGACACAGGTCACCCCCAGACTTCCAGCTATTCATAATACACTCATCACATATTCTCAAAGCCTAAGTCTAACTGTTACAATCCGTTTTGAAAGACCAGAGTTTAACTGCTCATAAAGTAGCTCAGTCCATTCTTAGGGTATCAGCTCGACTTTCCCTAGCCATTTTTAGAACAACATCCCTGAAGAAGAGATTCATGGTTGCCCCCCCCCCCACTCCTCCTTCCTCCTGCTTAGTACATGGGCTCTGCTAGCAGGTTTCTCTGTCTACCCACCCCCCAAAGCAAAACAAAACAGTTTAATCCCTGTGCTAAGTATAGAATGAATTTTATTGCCATAAAAGTTATGTTAACTAAGAACTTTATTTTAAAATAAGAATGTCCTAGTAGCATACTGATTAACAAGATGGCGGATCCGGTAGAAGCGCAGTGAGGAGCTCCGTCAGCAACAACACAGAATATCGGACAAAGCAGGCTCAGGGGATGGTGCTAAAACTCTGAACCACATATAAAGGAATATTTAGAAGCTTGGAAGGCTTCCAGCTAGGGGAATTTGTAGCAGAATCAAGAAAACCATTGCTTTCTAATTCAAGACACTCACCTGCTCCCAGAGCTGCCATTTTGGGAGAGACCAAGTGGGAAAAGGATCAGAACAGCCACAAAAGCCTGACAGAACCATGGAGATACAGGTGTGAACATTATTTATTATCTGTCCATTGGTCTCTCGCTATCTGCGCACCTCCATTCTGGTGACTAGAAGGAATGCCTGAGCGAATGGATATCCTACTTCCTCCCCTGGAGGGTTCTACTATGTATGCTCACAGATCACCTCAAAATTTAAAGTGACAGTTTCCACTTAAAACCAAACGGCCACCGCTCGTCTGTCAGTTTGTCTTACTGTGGTGGCTTGTGAGTTGCTGTGAATCTGAAAGATATGCCACCAGTATTTTAAATAACCAGCAGGCTCACCCATGGTGGACAGGTTTCAGTTGAGCTTCCAGACAAAGACAGACTAGGAAGAAAGAGTGATGAACTACTTCCAAATATTTAGCCACCGAGAACCTTATGAATAGCAGAGAAACACTGTCAGACAGATATAGTGCCAGGAAATGAGCCCCTCAGGTTGCAAGGTACTCAAAATGCAACTGGGGAAGAGATGCCTTCTCAAAGTAGAGTTGACCGTGATGACACGAACGGAGTAAAGCTCATGGGAGAAAAGCCTACTGCACCTTCATTTGCTGATGGGGCACAACTCAAAATTAAAAGAAACAGCTGTAAACATCCATTGAAAGTTAGAACATGGAATGTACAAAGACTTAATCTGGGAAAATTGGAAGTTGTCAAAAATGAAATGGAA